AGGGCCCAGGGGACTGACTGACTTCTTAGGCTATCAACTAAATTTAGAGCCATTAACTCCAAATAGCATCCTGAGGATGGTTTAAGGCAAGTAGATGTAGAGGAACTAGAAGCAATTTTAATGTATTCATTGTGGCGCTTTCATTCTCCAGCAGTAAGGAGAGAAGATGTTAATAATTAGTGCCGACTCACTATCACAGGAAAGACTTGAAAAGAAGGAGTTTAACTATGTCAGTAACACTAGGGAAGGTATCTGGTGTTCTCACCATCTCCATCTCTTTATTTATTTATACTGATTGTTTTGAAAGAGATAGGGTCAGGCTGACCTTGAACTCCTAAGCAGCTGAAGCCAGCCTTGAACTGCAGGAGCTCCTTCTGCTCGAGCCTCGTGAGTGCTGAGATTACACCACGCACCACCACACTGGATCAGCATCCACGTCTTTAAATTCTCGGAACAAATACACCTGAGTTTTTCTGACATGGACTATAAAGGTGGAATGAAACACATATGTATGCAACACGAATCCCTGGGGGTTCTTTTAGTGGGGACTGAAAGAATGGCTATAATTTCTTTTCTATAGTCCTTGACCCTTCAAATAAAAAGATACAAGATCCAAAGGGAAACCTAAGTCCCAGTAACTTTTTGATGAAGGATGATGGTTCCTAAAAAGCAGGGCATATAGAAAATCGTTGGAGAAAGAGAATCAACCCTTACGCTTAACGGGACTCCCTGGTTCACCAATTCAAATTCTGATCTTCTGACCCATCTCTTTTGGACAGCTGATCTGTGAGCATCTGTCAGGCTCCCTCAGTGTAACTTCAAGGAAGCACTGGTCACCCCCACAACTGGACACTTGACAAGGACATTGAATATTCTCCTTCACCACCTCCATACTAAGAGATTTGGCCCCTGGCAGCTTACCACTTGGCATTTGCTATGAGGAAAAGGCACAAGGCCAGGAGCCTGCATATCCCCTGAAAGAGTGTGGAGCCAAGGAACTAAGAAACTACACCACATATGAATTGTGGAATGCATGTGACACTCTCACCTTACCTGCTGTTAAATGTGATTCAGTGAAAGGCCCCTCGCAGTCATCCTTGCTATTCCTCCCACTTCAGGAAGGAGCAAATAAGCAGGTTGAGAGAAAACATGGAAATCTCACGATCCTTCTCTACTAACCAAAGAGTCATAGTGGAGAGAAGAGCATAATCGTTCCTGCTTTGCAGCTATCAGGAAGGAAATCTTACGTAGGACTTTTCCTCAAGCTATTTAGAGACTAGGAAAGAACCACATTCTTCTGCCCTTAAAGAGAGAGAGAGATTCCGCCTAGGACAGAGATTTTAACTACTTTTGGAGTGGCTCCATCCTGAGATTTCTCATGGTGAGATATCTGATTGGTTCATTCCAGTAGGCTTCTTGGTTGCTCCCAATGGATGGACAAAGACACCCCTGCCAATAGGAGGATGGGGGTAAAGCAATGGTCCACATCCTAGGATCTGGGTCTTCACCACTGGTGAAAAGACAGAACCTTCGCTAAGCTTTCCCAAGACTGACACTAGGCAAATATGCAAGCTGTGAATCTTTCACTCTAGGACTGGAAGAGGTGATGAAAGCTCAGAGAGCCAAGGGGGAGGAAAAAGTCCCAGGAAAAGATTTCTAGAGATAAAGAGAACAATTCCTTAGTGAGACAGTTTGGAGAAAACAATTTAAGGGAGGCACGTCTCCCTCAGGCCTGGCCTGTCTTCAACAGATGTTTACTAACTCACTGCTGCCCTGGAGCCAGCTGTGGCTGAGTGGAGAACATTTTCCATCACACAAATCCTTTGTGGTGAAAAAGAATAAAATTGAAAGTGGATGGCACCAGATTGCATCCGTGACTTATCATTTTAATCTTGTCACCAGAATAAAAAGAGAAAAATCCATTCCGGGAGGAGAAGGCAAAGACAAAGGATTGTATTTGATATGAATCAGTTATGTGAAGTCAATCTGGGAAGTTTCTTTAGACTATTAAAAACCATTTAGAAGAAGGAAAAATAGTAACCCAGTGATCACTGATGTCAAATTTTCAAGGATAATGAATTTAATTTGGACTGGGGATGTAAGTAAGTATTTGGTATGTTTTAGGATATGCGAGGGTGTGGATTAAATTCCCCACACCTTGAAAAATAAAACATAAAAGTAAAGAATTTAATTTTCAGGATGGAACACTATCTCAGTAGCTAAACAGGGATAGAACTCCTAGGATGACAAGCCTAACTTATAGAAAGTCACTTGGCCCAAACCTAGACTCTGAGAACTGTGGTCAGGCCAAACAGGAGTCCTCCGTGTGCATCCACGTCATTCTAGCACTTTGTAGTATTTGAAAGGCACCAACTCTCTACTTGGTTGAATCCTTTTCACTTTTCCACTGAATACAATGTTACCTCCTCCCAAAGGTCCTTCCTAATGGCCTCCTCTGAAGTAAAGATAATGTGTTATTATGTTCCATCCCGTTTCTGTTTACTTACGAAACAGCAATGATGAAATTATCAAATTTGACAATTATCAGATCAACATGGACTAGCTCAAAAAGAAAAGTTAAAAAGTCTTTTGAAATAAAGTAAAAATTAGTGGTGTGGCACTAACTTCACAATTTGGGAAAAATGCATGACACCAAATGGTCACATTAGAAAAAGAAGACAAAAGTCTCAAAGCAATTGCATCAGTTTTGCCTCAAGTAAATGAACAAGGACAAATTAAATCCAAAGTAAACAAAAGAAAGGAAGTTATAGATTTCAATGAAGAAGCATATGAAATGGAAAAGGTAAAACAATAAAAGAGTTAGAAGCAATGAAAACAATGAGTGATTCTTTAAAAATACCAGCAAATTGACTGATCTAGAATCAATCTAACCCAGAAAAATCCGAGAGAAAGAGAAAGGAAATGAATAACCAATACTGAGCATGAAAGGTGACAACACTACAGTTTGCACAATATAAAAATGATATTGGGGGAAACATTAAGTGAGCCATCATGGTTTATGTCTGTGGCCCCCAGGCCTCATGAATTTACATTGTGCATTTGTGATTGGTTCATTGTCTAGAGCTTGGATTGATGGTGTCAGTGCTACACTCACATAGGGGTAGAGCCAGCATACAATGTAGTGGCAGGAAGAAGGTGTGTCTCTCTCTCTCTTGCCGATTTCTGCCTTGCTGTTTGCAGCCACCATGAACTGCGGCCCCACCATGCCACCCTGCCTTGGAGCCAACTGAGTATGGACTGAAACCTCCAAAAACTGTAAGAAATAAACCTTTCCTTTCCCAACTTTGGTCATCAGGTAGTTTGTCTCACCAATGAGTAAAAAGTAACTATTAAGACATGAGCTTTATGCTAATAACTTGACAATCTGAATGATATAAGCAATTTCTTGAAAGATATAAACTGTCACAGTTTACTCTAAATAAAAGTTACACAAACATGAATACTCCTATAGCTAATAAAGAACTTGAATTTGTAACTTAAAATTTTCTCACAAAAAATCCTAGACTTAGATATTTTTATTCTTGACTTATATTTTAAAGGCATAATACCAATTTTACACAAACTCCAGAAAGTCAAAAAGGACATATTTTTCATTGGTTTATATAAGGCCAATATTATTTGATATAAAACCCATACAAAGATGTTATAGAAAAAACTATGATGGATGTTAGAATATAATTTTCTTTTCCTATAATGTCTTTCTGTGGGTTTTAAATCAAAGGAATACAATAGTGGTCTCATAGATGGCCATCATGAATATAGATGTAAATAAATCTTCTAGATGAAATTTGGCAAATCAAATCCAATTATTTGCATAAAGATATGACCCACCTAGAGTTTATTCTAAGAATGCAAGATTGGTTTAACTTTTTACAATAAATCAATTTGGTTCACTATATTAGCATACTTTAAAAAATAAAATGCATGTGATCATCCTAACAGACACACAAAAGCATTTGAAGGTTCTCTATTCATTCTAAAAAATATATCAAAAACCATAAATCTTTAGATTTTACAACGATGCAAGCATGGTTTTATTCCAGCTATAAAATGATGCTGCATATTTTAATTGTTTATGTTCTACATCGTAGGACAGATTATGTTCAAGGCAATGAAGCAATAACTAAAGATTAAAACCCATGTAGATTAGAGCTGGGTTGGTGGCATAGGCCTGTAATCCCAGTGCTTGGGAGGCTGAGGCAGGAGAATCTCCAGGAGTTCAAAACCAGCCTGGACCATGTAGCAAAATCCTGTCTCAAAAAAATCTAGATTGGAAAAGGAAAAGGAAAATTTTATTTATCTACAGATAGTATATTGTCTAGATAGAAAATCAGATGCAGTCTACAAAAATTCAATTGAATAGTATAAATTAGAAATTGATATTAAAATATTACTTATAAATACAGAAAAATATGAAATACTTATACATATGCAGAATCTAACAAATGATATGAACAATCTCTTGCTCGAAAACTAAAACCATCCCTGAAACTTAAAAATACCTAAACAAATGGAGAGCTCTATCATAATCATGGGCCAGACATCCTTATTGTTAAATGTTCATTCTCTCCATATTGAGGTATATTTTAAGTATGATACGAATAAAAATTCTACACATTGTTTTGTAAATTTGACAAGCAGATTCTAAAATTCATATGAAAATTCAACACTTAGAAAAATAAAAGCATATTTAAGAGCTAAAGACATTATTATAAGAGTCACAGAAACCAAAACAGTGAGACATTGGCATCATAATTAATAAAACCAACAAATGGACCAGAAGAGTCTACCCAGGTGTGGATAATTTAGTAAGTGCAAAGGTGGTTCAGTGTGAAGAGTAGGGTTTTAAAACAAGGTGCTGTGAACATTTTGATACTCACATACTAAGAGATGCTCATTAATCCACATCTTTCACTGTACTAAAAAGTTAGCTCAAATGGATCATAGACGATAAAACCTAAACTATAAAATTTCATGAATTTGGATCAGGAAAAGATTTTTATTAGGTCTTTCATTTACAGCGTACCACATTTGAAAGAATTAAACATCAAACTTCATCAAATTTTAAAAGGTTTGCTCTTTAAATGTCACTGTAAAGAGAATTACAATATAAAACATGGCCTACAAGGACATTTTATAAGAATATACTGATAGAGGTATTGGATTCAGAAGTATAAAGAACTCAAAACTCAATAATAAAAAAAATGGGCATAAGATTTGAGCAGGTATCACTTAAAAAGTATGATTTGCAAACAAGCACATAGAAAGTTGATCAATATCAGTCATTATTAGAGTATCAAACTATTACACAATTTTGGGAATGGCTAAAATTTAATACACTAACTCATACTAAGTATTACCAAGACTATGGAGCAATTGGAATTCTCATATGAGACATAATCACAAAACACAGCGAATGTTTAAATTTTGAAAAAAAGACTATTATGGTAAGAATATCCTCCCTTGATTCAAAGACATTTATTCTGTCTTCCTCGCTACTTTCTGAAGCAGTTATGGAAGTGATCCTTCCTGAGTGTCTTCTCCCGGCTGTCTCAACGTGCTGATGGATTCAAAACGTTCACAGCAGTTTCTGTCAAATAAAAACATTTTTAAGATAAAAATATTACAGCAAGTCCTCGCCGCGCTTATTCACTATTCTTGGCACCATGCAAATCTTGATTCTTCCTCAAAGTGAAAATGATCATGAAAGATACACGTTTTGAATGGGCCCAGGACATCAAAGCAGCCACAGTAGTTTAAGTACAGATACTCAGGAAAGATTATCTGAAGCAGAGAACCTCTCCAGAAAGTGGGAAAGATGATGGGGTAAGTGCTTGAAGTGAGGGGAAGTATTTTCACGTAGATATGGTGACGTGTCTTTTGCTGTAGTAAAGATTTTAATTAAAACAGTTAATGCACCTTTTGGTCACACCTCATACACTGCTTGTGAGTACAGTCACTTTGAAAAGTAGTTTGACAGTTTCTAAAACATAAATATAAATCGAATCCCCATATGTTCCAGCAGTTTCAATCTAGGTAAAATAGCAATTTATACACACACACACATACACAATACATACATGAATACTGACCAAGTTAACTTATATGTTAATAACTGTAAATAATCAGATGTCTTTCAGAAGGTAAATAGACAAGATGCTTGGTATTTTGTACATACAATGATGTTCTACTATCTAACAAAAAAGACAATTCCTTTCTGTTTTGATACAATCCATAACGTACATGAATCTCATATCTTGTACTCTGAATTACTAAAGGTAAAAATACACAATGTATTAATTATTGTTAATTTATTATTTTGCTATGAAAATTTGCTTTACTTTTTTCCCATTAAATAAGTAAATAAATAATGTTGAGCTAAAGATACCAGATTCCACCCAAAGAGATTTAAAACCCTGGCACAGTATCCAGTGCTGTCCCCTCAGCCAGTGGGACTCAGAAATAATGTTTTTGTTGATTATACCCAGGAGACAAAGAATTTGGTCAGAAGCAATACCCTTTGATGGTGCTTTCAGACACCAGCTCATTCTCTGGTGTGCATTTTGGAATTGCAGAATTTTATTTGTTGTCCGCTGTGTCACTGACATTTCCTGGGACACTTGTCTTCCCTTACTACTGCTACTGCCACAAAGCAAGCTGAAGTGTTGATGTAGAAACTGCTTAGCAGCTGCTAGACCCAAGAACAGAGCAGATCGTTCATCCCAAAGCACAGCCTGGAGTTGCAACCTGGATGCTTCTAGCTGGCAGTGGGAAAAAATTGGTCCTCTAAACATGACCCACAAAATATCTAATTTCTTATCTTCACACAGATCAGAAACCTCCAGAATCCATTTCTCTAGAAACATGACCTAGTCCTACATTCCAACTCAGTCAATGCTCCCTTACTCTTCTGAGAATTTGAAGGATACACAGCTACACCTGCTCACAGTTTGAACACCAGCAAGAGACAAGTCCCTCCTCCTCACCTACCAAGTTTCTTCTTTGCTTTCCCAGTCTGACCTATGAGTTTTTTCTTTCATAACCTTTAAGACCAGGTTTGATTTCTAATTCTCTTCTCCTTAACAATACTGTTATGCCTTGTTTCTGGTTAGAGCACGCAGTTTAATTCACGCTGGGAGAATACCTTTCTGTGGTCAGTCCTCATCACTACTTTCCATTGCATCTGTCTTTGACTGGAATTTTTTCTGCACAGGAAGCAGCTTCTGCACAGGAGTTCTTTATACCTCTCCCAGCCCAGGTAGCTCATGCAACATTACACATTCCTACATGGGTCATCCCTAGCCCCGTAATCTCCAGTGCCTATCATTACGTCTGGCTCAACCCACTAGACTCACTGTCAGCCTGAAATTTTAAGTAAAAAGTGAGAGTTGTAATTTTCAGCCCAGAGCTGTAAGCCTAGATAAGTGGGAGTAAGATTTCTCTGTAGCCTGTTAGCACCTCACAGATACACCTGGGGGACCAGAGATACTAGGACATCTCAACAATGCCCATTTAGTATTTGATTGTTTGTCTTAGTGTCCTAATGTTCATGAATAAGGAGTGGAAAGGTACAAAGAAATGAAAAAGGGCCAAAAAGAGGGTGATGAGCACAGAATGCTGGCTTCTCTTTTTCTGCCTCCCTGGGCTGTTCAGTCACAAACCAAGAGTTCTGAGAAAGTTGAGTCATGCTTTTCCAGCTTTGCCCATCGCTGGACGCTTTCTTGGCAAGCACTGCCAAATATTTGCAAATTTCTAAGAGATTATTTTTAGTGGAAATATAGCCAAAAGTTTCAGGGAAGTATATAAGTTTCTAAGAAGTTGGACTGTAAGAAAGGGTTCAGTGTATGTGGAAAGAAATATTTTAAACAAATCCAGTTTTAAGATTACAGCTATATCCAAGAGTGATTAATGGTATTTAAGAATTAGAAAGATACCAAGGGGTAGAAAAGTATTTATTTTAAAGATGAAGCAGAGATTAAACTGCTGACATGTTGAAAGAGGCTATTCTGTTTCGATAGAACTCTTTCTCTTTTCTTTTTATTCCTGTTATTTTCATTTTAATCATGTGCATGGCATGGCAACCTCTCCTTTTAACTTTACAGATGGCAAGCGCAACTCTGCATTCAAGATTCCACTCAGTACATGGTAATGGTACAGTGTAAATGGAGGCTCACCTGTTAAAGCAAGAGGTAAAGGTCCTACAAACCAACACAAAGTTAGGAAGCTAACTCACCGCCTCTTTTTCCTCATTCTCTTCTTCTTCATCAGGACTTCAGCTTGTATCTACCTCTCTTCCAGTGACGACAGGAACTTCTGGCTTAGTGTATAATGCTCACAGCTCTGAAGGTGAAGACTGTTGTTATTTCTATAGTTTCTTCACTCCTAGACATGTGATGCTTTCTTATTGTAGATTTCATTTGCCCTGAAATCCTGTACATAACAGCCCTGTGACCTGGATCTTTTCATTCCTACTTGATTTTAAAACCAATAGGATGCTTCAGGAATCTTGTTCTTAAGGTAACGTTTCCTTCTTCTATCAACAACTCTTTAACTTTGCTAGACAAAGCTCTCTCATCAACTACTACAGAAAAACATAGTACAGGAGGGGAATTGGATGAGGTGACTAAGAACATTCAGACATAGAATTTTAGGACTTGAAGTAGTTTTATGAAATGCAGCTAAGTTTCTGCCAATGACACAAGTTTTGGAGTGAGTAGGGGGCCCTGGACCTACTATTATTCTCTCTGTGTGTTGTTCAGTGACAGAAGCAGAGCTGGGACTCAGGGTGATGTGACTCATGTCATATCTTTCTCCATGAAGCTCTGCAAACACATGGCCTAGACGTTTTCTCACACATTAATGCAACACAAACTCTGTGTCCATCTGGGATAAGCATGGTACCCGCTATTGAAAGTGTTACTAGCCCTGACAGCTGTAGCTGTGAATGGTCAGGTCGACTCCAGTGCATGCCTTGGGAATGCCAAAGCAATCATACAGTGTCAACCAGCAGCACTGAAACCATCAACAAACACCAAACCTCTTGGGAGAGATCAGTAATAACCATTGGTTCTCTTTGTTCAGAGAAATATTTGCTCTCTCAAGCCCTAGATCCTTTTAAGGCTCTCAGCCCCAACCCTTAACCTCAGCCTTAGAAAAATTGATCTTCCTTAAAGAGCTAGCACTTGACCTTGCTGACTAAGGAGGACAAAGCTCTTCATTTATCATGGAAAATTTCCTAGGGAAAAGAAATGCATTTATCTTAATTCTACCGTTACATTTATCCAATGTTTGTCCTCTGCACTTTTACTTTTAATTGTAAAGAAAGAAAGAGGAAGAAAAGAAAATCTTTGAAGGACACACTGTACAGCTCCCTGTGCTAGGGTCATGGCTAATACACTAAGCCATTTAGAAGACTAGAGGGCAGAGTAATTTAGGTTCCATTACTTCAATCTACCAGAGTTGTGTGGTCAGATCATTTCCTGGCAGTATTCTCCTTCCCTGAGGGATCACCTCTTCCAGCACACTAGACTTGCCCAGGAAATGGATAAGACTTTACGCTGCTTCTCAGGACTTCTGTTGAAGTCTGGGTAAGGTAGGTTGAGGAACTGTAGAGGAAAATGTAGGAGAAAATAGGAGCTGTCATAAACAATGGGGATTTAAGGAGGATTTTGATCAATTGAGCAGAGTTTTAAACTTCCACAAATAGTTTAAGATTAAGATCAAGACAGGCAGAATAGACTAAAAGCAGAGAGAATTAAGCAAAAGGTGGGTTAATTTGGTTCATTTCCTCATCTTTCAACACTCTGCGATGCAAGGTGAGGAGAGATTCTTGTTAATTTCTCCAAGATAAACTTTCTAAAGGGATGTTTTCTCCTGTGCTTCATCCCTCTTTTGGGTCGCTCACTCTCTGAAACCCAAACATCATAGAACACTCGTATTCTAAACCTGTTTTATGGACGTTCATGTTTAGAGTTTGCATTTCTCTTCAAACTGAGGCTCAAGCCTGCTCTAACTTCATTCCACACAGATCAGCTTCTTCTCGCCTGTCTGTCCACTACTCAGTCTTGCCCGTGCGGCACCTTTGGCCTCTGTCCACCTGCAGTCAGTCATAGCAGACTCAGGAAGAAACAGCCCAACTCTGCCTTGAGCCCTCAGCTTTCTCCAGTCCCTCTTCTTCTTTTGGAGTCTAACAATTAGCTTGTACTTAGCTTCTTTTACTTTTAGTTATGTGTTTTTTGGTACCAGGGACCTCACATTTGCCAGGCAGGCATTTCTGCCACTAAGCTAAGACCCTGGCCCCTACTTAGCATCTTTTAAACAAAACTTTTTTGGGGGTTGGGGGGATACCAGGAATCAAACTTAGGACCTTGTGCTTGCCAGGTTGGTGCTGTGCTCTGAGCTACATTCCAAAACAAAACTACTCTACTCAGAATACAAAGCTTAGCCCCCTAGATTTGTCTATGTCTTCTGCTTTAAAAATTTGCCTACAGCAGGGGCTGGGTATTTAGCTCAGCAGCATAAGCACCTGCCTTGCAAGCAGGCAATCGTGAGTTCGATCCCTGGTACCGATAAAAAGGGAAAAGACAAAAAATATATATATATTTGCCTATAGTTAAGAATTTGAAAATGATTTAGGCCAAATCATTAGTCCCTAAACTAATAGGTGATTCAACTGAATGTTAACCATAGCCATAAAGTTTTTACTTCATAATCTCATTCCCTTCTCAGAGTCATTCAGGGAGGAAGCACAGAGACATATTACAGGTAGCTGAGGTCCCAGCTGAGGAAAACTCCTGTGCACAACGACAATAATGCCTTTCATTTAATTCAGAGGCAAACCTTTCTCTGTACTATGATCCACAAAGCCTTAAGCAATATATCTTCTGTCTCTTCCATGTTCCACCACTCTTGGATTCTTCAATTTTGACACTTTTTGCTGAAGTATAATTTTCAAAAGTTTAAAATTTTTTTTCATAAACATATAAATTCTGCTACTTAATTAATGAGAAACTTGTTAAGATAGGTTCAAAAGAAAATTTGACAGGCAGGGGTAAATCTATATAGAGGCTAACCTAGATGCTGATGCAAACATGCAAATAGATGCCAAACTGCTTAGTATTCCATTAAAATAAAATGTTAGGATCAATAAAATGACAAGACTGTAACAGGATTGACCAAAAAAAAAAAGAATATTCAGATTAGTAAAATCAAAAATAAAAGAAGAGATAACACTACCAAACTTGCAATTTTGTAAAAAATTAATGAGGGAATGCTAGAAACAGTTGCATTCCAATAAATCAGATAATTTACATGAAGTAAATTCTTAGATATAAATTACAGAAACTTAAAAGATTTAGGAAAAGTTAACAGATCAATGACAAACAAAATAGCTGAATAAGTAACCTACTAGTAAATTTAAAACTACCAAACATTCAAAGGAAAATTAATACAAATCCTTCAGAAGCTCTTCCAAAAAATAACAGATCAAAGAATACTTCTGAACTCATTAAGTCAGAATACACAAAGGAATCCTCGTAGCCGAAGATGTCAAAAGAAAGCAAAATGACAGACCTTTATCTCTTATGAATATAGAAAGAAAATGTTCAATAAAACACTAGCAAATCAAGTAAACCTAAAAAGGAGTACATAACAAAATCAAAGGGACTTTTTATCAGAAATTCAAGGTTAGTTTACAATAAAAACGCAATCTCATACACCATATTTATATAACAAAGGGCAAAGCCATGCAGCTATTGCAAAGGCTATAGAAAGAAAGTTGAGAAAAACCCAATACCCTTTCATGGTAAAAATGACCAACAATTTAGGAATACAAATAAGCTATCTCAGCTTGATAAAGACCATTTATGGAAAACTCACAAGCTAATATCATACTTAATGGTAAGAGAATGAATACTTTCCATGGAAGATCAAGACCAACATGAAAATACCCATTCTTGCAATTTCTATTCCGTATGTGACAGTTTATTCAAGACAATTAAGCAAGAAAAAGAAATAAAAAGCACCTAGATTGGAAAAGAAAAAGTGAAACTATATTCACAGATGGCAAGATTTTGTTGTATTTTAAAACTCTTGAGGACTCACTTCAAGTACTTTTTTTTTGGTCTTTTTGAGGCCATAAATGCTGTTCAGGCTGGCCTTGGGCTTACTTTGTAGCCCAGACCGATCCTGAACTTGCACGATTCTCCTACCTCAGTCTCCCTAATGCTGGGATTATAGGAGTGTGCACCACGCCTGGTTCTTAAGTACTATTAAAACTGGTAAATAAGGCTGCAGGATACAAAATTGATATGCAAAAATCACTCATGTTTTTAAACACTAGCAATGAAAATTTTGAAACTGAAACTGAGAAATTAACTTTGCTTATAATACTATTAAAAAAGCAAAAATACAGAAAGAATATGACTGTCAGCTTGCTGTTGCTGTGACAAAATACCTGAGAATACCAATTTAAAAGAGTAAATTTATCTTGGCTCATAGTTTCAGAAATTTCAGTTCATGGCCATCTGGCTCCATTGCTCCTGAACCTATAGAGGGAAAAAAAAAAATCATGATGGAAATGAAAGTATATGGTAAAAGAAAGATGCCCTCTTTATGGCAGCCAGGAAGGAGAGAGAGACAGAGACAGACAGACAGCTGGGGGAGACTGTGGTAGCAAACTTACTCCTTCTTCGGCTTTCCTCCAAGTCAGACCTCCAGCCTCCAGATAGAGCTACCCGCTTACAAAGTGGACGCACCCCTCAGTGTGTGGTCTCCAATGCCGGTTGTCTCTGGAAAGCGCCTCACAGACACACATGGAAGTGTGCTACCCTAATTTCCTAGGCATTTCTCCATCCAAACAAGTCAGCAAGATTATCCATTATAAAAGTGTGCACCAAAAATTACAAGATATAACTGTAGGAAATTAAAGATCTAATCATGAATCAGATTACTTAAAATTGCTGAAACAATTATATTTCCCAACTCGAGCTGCAAACACAAAACTCCCTCTGACAAGACATTGACTGACTTTTTGCAGAAATTAAAATACTGATTCTTAAATTTATGTAGAAATGCAAAAGACCCCCCAAAAAGCTAAAAACAATCTTGAACAATAAGAATAAAGTTGGATAACTCATACATCCAAATTTCAAAATTAACTACAAATTATAGTGACTAAGTGTGATATTCCCACAAAGACTGACATAGGTAGGTGAAATAGAATTGAAACTCCACAAATAAACTCACATATTTATGACCAATTCATGTTCAACATGGATACAAAGATAATTCAATGAGGAAAGAAAAGTCTTTTTGGTGGAAGAACAACTAAGTATTCACATGCAAAAGAATGAATTTGGACCTTTATCACACTTCATACATAAACATTAATTTAAAAAGGAAACTAATCCTAATTGTAAGAACTAAAGCCACTAAAGCTTTTAGAAGAAAACATTGGAGTAAATCTTCATGGCTTTGTGTTAAGTAGTAGTTTCTTTGATACAACATCAAAAGCACAAGAGGCAAAAGAAAATATATAAATTAGATTTAAAATTGAAAACTTTTTCACAAATAGCATTATCAAGAAAGTGAAAAATATGCTTCATAATGGGAAGACTACTTTTAAGCCAGACCTTTGAAAAGAGATGTCTACTCAGAATATACAAAGGATTCTTAAAATTCAATAAAAAGAAACATTTTTCATTGACAAAGAATTTAAAGAGGCACTGATCCAAGAAAGACAAAAAAACAGTCAAGAAGTGCACACAAGAATTCTCAGCATCATTTGCTAAGGAAATGTAAATCTAAACCACACCAAGATGTCACCTAGCGTCCTCTAAAATGGTTGTGAGCAATAATGAGTGACAGCAACTGAGGGGAAGGATGTGAAGAAATGAGGATCCTCATACACTGTCAAAGGACGTGGAAAATGGTGTAGCCATGTGGAAAGACCATTTCATAGTTCCTAAAAACATTACACATGGGCTTACCCTATGACCAGCAATCATACTCATGGGTAAATGCCAAAGAGAAGATGAAACATACTTCCTCACAAAAACTTGTATGTTCGTATAGATGTAAGTCAGAAAAAGGAGAAATAAATAATCCAACTTACAGACGCTTAACCAAGCATGCCCACAAACTGAATATTATGTGGAAATAAAAAATGAAGTAGTAATAGTGCATGTTACAACATGAATGGACCTTGAGAACACTATACTCAGTGAAAGAAGCCAGTCTCGAAAGACCATATATTACATGGTTACATTTGTAAGCAATTGTCAAAATACAAAACTTTATAGTGACAGAAAATAGACTACAGTTTGCCTATAAACTATTGATAGCTGTCTTGGTTACTGTTCTCATTGATGAGACAAAATACCCAACACTCACAAGTTAAAGGAGGAACGGTTTACTGCAGATCAGACTGTAGAGGTTCCAGTCCATAAGTGGCTGGGTTCAAGGCAGGGTGACACGGCAGTGGTCCGTTGCAGAGCAGAAACAGTTCATGGCAGACAGGCAGGAGGCGGCAGCAGCAAGCCTGCCTGCCCTCTCTCCTTCTGTATTCCTTCCAGGCTATAAGCCTATTGGTTCATGCCACCACACCAAGGGCGGAGCTTCCATCATGCATACCCAGAATTAAGCTAATTTCAATCAGTGGTCTAATTTAGTACCAAGTAGCTTTAATTCTAGCATCACATGTCCTAGATCCAGCTAGCTCCAAAAAGTACCCCTTTGGGAGTACATCTAGATATAAGCTACAGTGTTTCTTGGCTTTGGGAGGGAACAAAATGATCTAAAATTAAGATTATGGTGCTGGTTCAATAATCCTAAAACTATTCTAAATTCCACCAATTTGTGAATTTTTAAATGGTTGGATGTGTGGTATAAAATTGTTTTTCAGATTTTTTTAAATTTTAAGGATAGTAAAATACAACAAAACAAGACAGAACAAAGCCAATCATGACAATGCAGTGAAATTGGTACAGAACTTCAGAGCAGGATACCAGGAAAACAGTAATAGGTACTGTAGAATATCTCATTATCTTCACAGTAGTTGTCTATTCAATCAGGTATAGCAAAATCAAAGCAAAAACAGGACACTATAAAACCAATCAAAACAGAATATTGAATAGAGCAAAGCAATTAATTAGAACAAAACAAAACAGTGAGAACAATATTGGCCTTCAAAGACAAGAAAGAAATCCCCCATATTTGCTGTATCACATATGGTTATCCTTCCAAGAGATGCTCAGACCTCTGGCCTCAGGCCTGCATAATCAGCCAAATAATACAAGCATTTAGTTGCTTTATGTACCTTCGTTGTTTTCAACTCTTTCTGACCTAGAAACCATCCAGTTGCTACTGGGGACAGGGTGAGAGGCACAAGATCTTTGATTCTCAGCCCCTGTGCTGGTAGGCTCACAGGAGACCCTGACTTATTCTCTCCCTGGCGCACCCACAGCTTGCACCACTCATCAGAAAGGCTGGCACATTGTAAAATTGTTATTCAATATAGCAGGTTAAAATGTATTGGTTTTCTACAGGATAGAAGGTAATTCACATTTCCACGGTTTTCTTTCCTTTCCTTTTTTTTTTTTTTTTTTTTTTTTTTCAATTCTGAGAATTGAACCTAGCGGCTTCACA